CCTAGGTATTTGTAGTTGTCCACATACTCTAGGTCAGACCCGCCGAGAGTAGTGATTCTAGTCGGGTGGGCGGGTGCAAGCAGCGTTTGGTTGAAGAGCATGCATTTAGTTTTACTAGTGTTTAAGAGCAGTTGGAGGCTACGGAAGGAGTGTTGTATGGCGTTGAAGCTCATTTTGAGGTTTGTTAACACAGTGTCCAATGAAGGGCCAGATGTATACAAAATGGTGTCGTCTGCATAGAGGTGGATCCGAGCGTCACCAGCAGCAAGAGCGACATCATTGATACACACAGAGAATAGAGTCGGCTCGAGAATTGAACCCTGTGGCACCCCCATAGAGACGGCCAGAGGTCCAGACAACAGGCTCTCCGATTTGACACATTGAACTCTATCTGAGAAGTAGTTGGTGAACCAGGTGAGGCAGTCATTAGAGAAACCAAGGCTATTTAGTCTGCCAATAAGAATGCGGTGGTTGACAGAGTCGAAAGCCTTGGCCAGGTCGATGAAGACGGCTGCGCAGTTCAGTCTTTTATCGATCGCGGTTATAATATCGTTTAGGACCTTGAGCGTGGCTGAGGCCTCCTGTAGCTCAGTTGGTAGAGCATGGCGCTAGCAAGGCTAGGGTTGTGGGTTTGATTCCCACGGGGGGCCAGTATGAAAAATGTATGCACTCACTAACTGTAAGTTGCTCTGGATAAGTGTCTGCTAAATGACTACAAAGGTAAACATTTCGGTGGCTAATTTTAGAAAGAAAGGGTCCAGATTGTCTAGCCCAGCTGATTTGTAGGGGTCCAGATTTTTCAGCTCTTTCAGAACATCAGCTGTCTGAATTTGTGTGAAGGAGAAGCGGGGGGGGGGGGGGGGGGGGGGGGGGGGGGGGGGGGGGGGTAGTGGTAGCCAGGTGGGAAGCATGGCCAGCCGTAGCAAAATGCTTGTTGAAATTCTCGATTATTGTAGATCTATCAGTGGTGACAGTGTTTCCTAGCCTCAGTGCAGTGGGCAGTTGGGTGGAGGTGCTCTTATTCTCCATGGATTTTACAGTGTCCCAAAACGTTTTGGAGTTAGTGCTACAGGATGCAAATTTCTGTTTGAAAAAGCTAGCCTTTGCTTTCCTAACTGATTGTGTATATTTGTTCCTGACTTCCCTGAAAAGTTGCATATCGCGGGGGCTGTTCGATGCTAATGCAGTACGCCACAGGATGTTTTTGTGCTGGTCAAGGGCAGTCAAGTCTGAGGAGAACCAGGGGCTATATCTGTTCTTAGTTCTGAATTTTTTGAATGGGGCATGCTTATTTAAGATTGAGAGGAAAGCACTTTTAAAGAACAACCAGGCATCCTCTACTGACGGAATGAGGTCAATATCCATCCAGGATACCGGGGCCAGGTCAATTAGAAAGGCCTGCTCGCTAAAGTGTTTTAGGGAGCGTTTGACAGTGATGAGGGGTGGTCGTTTGACCGCGGACCCATTACAGACGCAGGCAATAAGGCAGTGATCGCTGAGATCCTGGTTGAAGACAGCGGAGGTGTATTTAGAGAGTAAATTTGTCAGGATGACATCTATGAGGGTGCCCATGTTAACAGATTTAGGGTTGTACCTGGTAGGTTCCTTGATAATTTGTGTGAGATTGAGGGCATCTAGTTTAGATTGTAGGTTGGCCGGGGTGTTAAGAATATCCCAGTTTAGGTCACCAAGCAGTACGAACTCTGAGGATAGATGGGGGGGCAATCAGTTCACATATGGTGTCCAGGGCACAGCTCGGGGCTGAGGGGGGTCTGTAGCAAGCGGCAACAGTGAGAGACTTATTTCTGGAAAGGTGGATTTCTAGAAGTAGAAGCTTCTAAAACCCCACCCCCTTTGGCAGTTCTATCGAGACGGAAAATGTTGTAGTTGCTAAGCCAGGATTCAGACACTGCTAGAACATCAGGGTTGGCAGAGTGTGCTAACGCAGTGAATAACTCAAACGTAGGGAGGAGGCTTCGGATGTTAACGTGCAAGAAACCAAGGCTTTTACAGTTACAGAAGTCAACAAATGATAACGCCTGGGGAGTAGGAGTGATACTGGGGGCTACAGGGCCTGGGTTAACCTCTACATCACCAGAGGAACAGAGGAGGAGTAGAATAAGGATACGGCTAAAGGCTTTAAGTACTGGTCTTCTAGTGCGTTGGGTACAGAGAAAAAAAGGGGCAGATTTCCGGGCGTTGTAGAATAGATTCAGGGCATTATGTACAGACAAGTATATGGAAGGATATGAGTACAGTGGAGGTAAACCTAAGTGTTGGGTAACGATGAAAGAGATAGCATCACTGGAGGCACCGATTGAGTCGGTCTCCGCGTGTATGGGGGGTGGGACAAAGGAGCTATCTAAGGCAGGTTGAGCTGGGCTGGGGGATCTACAGTGAAATAAGAAATAACCGAAACAGCAATAAGCAAGACATATTGACATGGGAGAGAGGCATAAAGCAATCACATACATTTCTTCTTCTATATGCAGACCCAGGACATACATTTCTTCTTCTATATGCAGATCCAGTACATTTGTCTGGCCTTTAGGTTCAACTTCTCTTGTTTTTTCCCCCCAACCTTTATGAACTCCTACCATCAAACAACAATAGCTCTTCAAATAAATACACCTCTACATGACCTCGGTCTCTTCTCAAGGGTTATCAAGATGACCATGCTACAAAGGAAAACACTTACTTTATCCTCACAATTGATATGCTAATCCATAAGATATTTGCTCTAAAGGTTTAAAGTTATATAGGTGAGGTTAATGTGTGGTTTAGGGGTAGGGTTAGGGGTATAGCGTTTAAAATCATATCTTTGAAAGACATTGTACTTCCGTCCTTTGTCGTAAGCTATGGCCAGACAGTGAAGGGAAAACTTAGTCAGTTGCACAACTGAATGTGTCTTCCACAGTTAACCCAACCCCTCTGAATCATAGAGGTGTGGTGGGCTGCCTTAATCAACATCATCGGAGAAATTGTTGTTGGCAGTTAACTGCCTTGCTGAAGAGCAGAACGGCAGATTTTTCCACCATGCTGGCTCAAGGATTCGAACCATCTGCCTTTCGGTTAATGGCCCAACACTCTTAATCACTAGACTACCTGCCGCCCCTTGGTGACAACCATTAGTTCTCAAAGGCATCCAGCTGGGATCCAATGGCAGGCCAGGCCATGTGCTGAAACAGCCAACTAGGTCAGGCCAGGCCAAGCATGTGCTGAAACAACCAACCACCCCCCAGGACAGATTATGAGGCCTTTTAGTCTATCTCTATGGAGATACCAAGTTCCTGGTTAATGATGTGTCAAAGCATGAAAGCTTGACCTCTCATAGTTGAAGGTGCCCCAAGCAAAACATTCTCCAGCGCTTGCTGTGCTGACACAATGAAGCTCCAGACACATACCTGTTTTACCCCCACATCATAGCTTACAATGCTATGTACCAAACGTAACATCTAGATGAGGCAAGTTGATGTCATCTCAAGAAAATCAAGAGATGAGAGTAGTTACTGATGAGATGTATGGTTATTCTTCACCTCATTGGAAAGCTCTTGGCCACCTTTCTTGCCTTGTTTAAGGCTCTTGCATGTGTACTAACTGCCTTACAATACACTGTCAATAACGGTCTGTTCATTCAGTCATTTCTGTTTGATTGGTAGTTTCACAGATACTTTTCATAGGCCTAAGCAGTGTGCAATGTCATCTCCTAAAATAAACTACAGATTGTGTGGTCCCAGCCATCACACCATGTGGTCCTCATAGTAAGGTTTTTTTTATGGGCTTAACACAACACCATAATGCTCATGTAAGCAGTGAAATATATTAAAGTTTTGGGTTGTTTCTTAGATTGCTATGTATTTGTATAACACATATTTAAATGTATTGGATCTATTAGGATGTGTTTCATGAGGAAAATAGCGGGAATTAAATGCTATGGGATGAAAATAACAGCAACACCAAACAACATGAAACTATAATTTCACCACTGTCACCCATCCATAAATTACTGAACTCATTTCAATAGTTTTAATTTGGTAGGAGCAAAAACAGGCATTTTATTATCGGTTATATTGCGCATAAAGAAAGGGAGCTCTCCTTTTACGCATGTTCAATTCTTGCCTATGCACATAAAAAAAAAAATAGTTACATTCCTTAATTCAATTATTTCTATATGACTCAGTTAACTTAAAGCAAAGTCCTTGAGATTAAAAGTATTTGGATAATTTTCCTCATAGGTTGCATCGAGACGCTTTATCATCAGTCAATGAGGGTGTCAAATTATTTCCAATATGGGGATCACCAATATTTAAACGGCTATGTAGGGTAGATAACTTTTACTTGTGACGTCTAAATATAACGTCCCTTACCTCACCGTGCACATACCGGTGTTTGTAATTGTCTAACAAAAGGGGGGCATGGACAGCTGACGTGCTAGTGCAGTGTTTTGTCCTGCGGCGCATCTTCAGTCCGGACTGAGAAGAAGAGCGCGGCGTAGCTATCTGTCTCATCCTCGGAGAAATGAGTGACTGACTTTACCTTCCAGGAACAAGAAGTGGTTTCAGTTTCATCTTTTTTTCACCGTCTAGGATACTTGTGTTTGGGTTTGCAACTTCTTCAGCTTCACCTGTTATTCACGTCGAATGTCAAACAAATAGCCTAGGCTATAAAAACAAAACGCAACCGCGGAGGAAAAGTGTTTTCGTTGGCAACCGAACATCTGGCTGGACATTTGTGACAGTTTCTCAGAAGATGTGTCTTCATTCGATTTACTTTTACCAGACTGACTTTTGATAAGCACTGACTCGTCTCGAATAAGTCAGAGACAAACAATGGCATCAATGAACTGACAAGATATCAAATTAGCCTTTTGAAACAGGATGAATATAATTTTTCAACTTCTATAGATAGGCAGGTTTTCCCCCAATTATGAACAGTAAACCGTCGCTCAGGACTTGTCTTCTTCATTTTAAATGGTCTGCCTTCTGTTCACAAAAATAGAAATGTTTTGTTTCTTCAAACCCCGAGGATATTCCAGGACCAGGAAGGGGTCTCGAAATGGGACAATATCCCGACACTCCTCCAACTCAACATCAAGGCTATACTTTCCTATTATTCTTCTGCTTCTCATCTTCACACCTAGAGTGGATTCTTCCTGGTGGTGAGTGGTTTCTTTCATGTGCAATTGATCCTGCTGAAATAATCATATCATTTCTATCCAAGATTACATCTTTCATTTAAGTCTAGGAGAGCTCTGTCATTGATATCCAAGATGAGATCTTTCAGTGGTTTTGGATGACCAATTGTCTTCTTAATGAGCTAATTCTAAGATATTCCAAGACCCTGCAAAAGTTAGCCCTATTTATGTTGGCTATTTAGGAGTCGAAAATATAAGTGAGGAGAAATCATATGGCCTAATGCATATATAATGGTTGAATATGAATGTAATAAATAAATACATAATTATAAGCTCATCATTAAACATGCGAAACGTCTTGAACATAGTCAAGATCAAATGTAAAGCATGTTTGTATTTCAATTAAGGTTTTAGGGAAATGGTTTAGGCCAACCTTCAAAAATTCTGTAATAATATTTGTTCCTTTTTATAAGAGTCTATTCTCAGTAGGCTACATTTGCTTTTCACTGAAACCTGAGTTTATCTCTATGTTTATCCCAAACCTGAGATTGGCAATTATGTCTTGAAAGATGTGAATTCTCCTTGGGATGCAGGAGGTGGGGACAATAAGGTACACTAAATAATGGGCCACTGTTATGTGGCAATTTAAACAAATTCAAGATACACCCAATTTTAGTCTAAACCTCCATCACACCTTAGAATTAGACCCATACCCTGCTGGTACTTGTGAAGAGATCGCAGCCAACTCCAATTCAAAACAGCCACAGGGGGGAATGTGTGTGGATTGGAGTTTTAAAACATCAAAATAAAGAGAGATCAACCAACAACAGCACACTGTGTTCATGAAGATTCATGGGCTGAGGGACTTTCCACTATCAATCTTGCATATTGGAAATGGCAGATGCAGGCAGTGGTGGATGAAGAAGTGTTCCTTGACGATTTCTCTTGAGGGTAAGAACCCAGGGTGTAAAAAGGAAGTGCCTACCTCCAACACTCTAATCAAACTGCACAAAACAACATGATAAATCAGCTTTCAGCTAAGGGCAAAATCTTAATTTTCTATTCTGTTCTTATAGTTGAACTAGTTAAAGTAGATTAAATAAATCAAGTGGGCTCAACTCAAAAATACATTTTATGTAAAGAACAGTGAGGAATTGTATGACTGAATAAAAATAAGGCTGTGTGTGTAATTAAAACAGTGAAGTGAGGCAGAGTGGGGAGACATGGTAGCTCTCTCCAGACCAAGGGTCTAAATATGATTTATATAGTCCAGGTTTTTTTTTCATCATGATCGTGATCATTCAGATAAGCAGCAACGTGTTCTCTGGTGTTCTGGACTGATAGTCCTCTCCCCAAACTACGTATGAGGCGTAGAGATAGTCAGGGTCTTTTGGCTCAGCTCTCTACTCTCTCTATGGAGAGAGTAAACACTGTGTCTCTGCTCTGCTTTCCTGCTAAGGCTCAGGCAACAGGGAATGAATGCAGATTGTTGGGGGGATGGGACAGCCATAACTGGAATGGAAACCCTTTTCTGTTGCTGTCTAGGTGGCGTGACACATAATGTAGCTGTGATTAAGCCTGGCAGTAATGAAGTTTTGTCATCGCAGGGAGCGGGAAAGTTAGAGGAGCATGCCAGCTTATAGGAGACTGGTGATTTATAGAAGACTGGCGACTTATAGGAGAACGGCGACTTATAGGAGACTGGTGACTTATAGGAGACTGGCGACTTATAGGAGACTGGAAACTTATAGGAGACTGGAAACTTATAGGAGACTGGTGATTTATAGGAGACTGGCAACTTATAGGAGACTGGTAACTTATAGGAGACTGGCGACTTATAGGAGACTGGCGACTTATAGGAGACTGGCGACTTATAGGAGAATGGCGACTTATAGGAGACTGGCGACTTATAGGAGAATGGCGACTTATAGGAGAATGGCGACTTATAGGAGACTGGAAACTTATAGGAGACTGGCGATTTATAAGAGACTGGAGGTTTATAGGAGACTGGCGACTTATAGGAGACTGGCGACTTATAGGAGACTGGGGATTTATAGGAGACTGGTGACTTATAGGAGAATGGTGACTTATAGGAGACTGGTGACTTATAGGAGAATGGTGACTTATAGGAGAATGGTGACTTATAGGAGAATGGTGACTTATAGGAGACCATGTCATACTGCATGGCTGCTTCACTGCACTCTGTGTTCCTGTTCCAGTCTCAGTGGTCAGGGGCCACTCCTAGTTAACTGTGTGGACTCTTCCCTGTCTGTGAAAGGGCTTCTGAAGGTCTCACATTTCATAACACTGTCCTCTGATGTACCATTTATGGCATGTTTCACAGCGTGGGATTACAATGAAGCGGGACAGAATGGTTAAATGCACACTTTGTAAGAATTACTGCTGTTCAATAGTCAATTAAATTAATGATGCCCATTGATTCTTGAAGAATCTATCAGACTGGACCTAACTTCACAAACAATATACAGTATCTTGCCCTTCTGAAAGAAAACGAGATAAATAACATCTGTGTTTGCATAACAATAGTTCCTGGAAGTTTGACTGGTCTACCACTGACAGTGCACCTGTCTATCTGATCTGCAGGTACATTGGAGCCCTGGGTGCACGGGTGATCTGTGACAACATTCCAGGCCTGGTGAACAAGCAGCGCCAGCTGTGTCAGCGCCACCCGGACCTCATGCAGTCTATTGGGGAGGGTGCCAAGGAGTGGATCCGCGAGTGCCAGCACCAGTTCCGTCACCATCGCTGGAACTGCAGCACGCTGGACCGAGACCACACTGTCTTTGGCAGGGTCATGCTGCGCAGTAAGTCTGTGTGTGTGCATCTGCGTGTGTGTTTCCGTATGTGTCTGTGTATGTGTGTGTGTGTCCGTGTGTGTGTGTGTTAAGATGTTTAGTATTCAACCACTTGAATCTTAGATGAAAGATTCACTACATGAATCTGATACAATATGTAGAAGGGATGGATTGTTGTAGACTATTACAGAAGCATTAAGGGACTGTTCCATTTCCTTTTAGACCTACAGATATCCAAGCCTTAAAGGGACATTTCTAAATGTTTCAACTTCATATTCATCATCTCCAGCACCACCCCAACATCAACATATGTGCAAAGGTCACGTTTCTATGTCTTGTAGTAAAAAATATAGAGGAAGATAAGTGTTTGCAATGACATCATCGGTGTGCATCATGTGATTTTGACCAATTATGAGGAGGCATTGTCTACTAATTGTCTACTAATTGTCTACTAATTGTCTACTAATTGGTTGATTTCATTGCAAACACTTATCTTCCTTTATCTTCTTTTGCTACAAAACATAGAAATGTGACATTTTCATATATGTTGATGTTGGGGTGGTGCTGGAGATAATGAATATGAAGTTGAACAATTTAGAAATTTCCCTTTAAGGGTATATGCATGTTATATACATATCTCAGTTCAACACTTCATACAACAGTTTATCATCTCTATGTACAGGGTGGTCCTCTGTAGCTCAATTGGTAGAGCATGGTGCTTGTAACGCCAGGGTAGTGGGTTCGATCCCCGGGACCATCCATGCGTAAAAATGTATGCACACATGATTGTAAGTCGCTTTGGTTAAAGCGTCTGCTAAATGGCATATTATTATTATGCGGTCAAATATATTGGCACCCCTTGCACTTTACAATGGAGTGCAATGTAGCAGAATGTTCTGTTCTCTCTTTTCAAAACTGGTGTAATGGCTATTTTTACCCTGTAGGCACCTGCAACTTACCACAGGTGAGAAAAATTACACAGTAAACAAGATAACTTGCCTCCAACCAAATTAATTAGAATTTTGAATAATTTCACAAGACCATTTTTTTTTTACTATGAAGTAAAAAATCTCAAATTCAGTTTGGATTATTTTTATCTTGGTCCAGTGTAAATCAAACAAATACACATGAGAACGCCAAAAGTTATTTCAATTTAATCTTCTTTTAGAATAAATATGTAATCGTGCAAGGGTGCCAATATATTTGGCCGCACCTGTATGTTTCATTTGTTTGCCACTCTCCAATAAGGCAACAGGAGAAGCTACTAGTCTGCTCTACAGTACAGAGAGAATGTGTGAACAATATATATACTGAACAAAAATATGGACGCAACATGCAACAACTTCAAAGACTGTACTGAGTTACAGTTCATAGAAGGAACGGTAAATGTACTAGTGGTGATACTGGTGTGCCACCCCCGCGGCCTCCACAATCGATTAGTCCACTCAGACAGGTGTGAATCAGACAGGTGTCTCGTGTGCCATAATTGTTTTAATATATATATATTTGCCACTGCTCGACTAAAAAAACTTGGTCGACCAACAGCCTATCGACCAAACCATCGACCAGTCGACTAAATGGGGTCAGCCCTACATTATATACACTGAACAAAAATAAAAATGCAACATGCACAAATGTCAATGATTTTACTGAGTTACAGTTCATATAAGGAAATCAGTCAATTGAAATAAATTCATTAGGTCCTAATCTATGGATTTCACATGACTGGGCAGAGGCACAGCCATGGGTGGGCCTGGGTGGGCATAGGCCCTCCCACATGGGAGCAAGGTCCACCCACTGGGAAGCCAGGCCCAGCCAATCAGCCAATTATTGCAGACAGAAATACTCCTCAGTTTCATCAGCAGTCCAGGTGGCTGGTCTCAGACGATCCTGCAGGCATGGTTACACGTGATCTGTGGTTGTGAGGCCGGTTGGATATACTCCCGTGATCGGGAGTCCCATAGGGCGGCGCACAATTGGCCCAGCGTCGTCCGGGTTAGGGGAGGGTTTGGCCGGGGGGGCTTTACAAGTAGGCCATCATTGTAAATAAGAATTTGTTCTTAACTGACTTGCCTAGTTAAATAAAGGTTAAATAAAAAATAAATAAAAATATACTGCCAAATTCTCTAAAACGACACAGTCAGCATGCCAATTGCATGCTCCCTCAAAACTTGAGACATCTGTGGCATTGTGTTGTGTGATAAAACTGCACATTTTAGAGTGGCCTTTTATTGTCCCCAGCACAAGGTACACCTGTGTAATGATCATGCTGTTTAATCAGCTTCTTGATATGCCACACCTGTCAGGTGGATGGATTATCTTGGCAAAGGAGAAATACTCACTAACAGCGATGTAAACAAATTTGTGCTCAAAATTAGAGAAAAATAAGCTTTTTGTGCATATGGAACATTTCTGCTTTTATTTCAGCTCATAAAAAATGGGATCAACACTTTACATGTTGCGTTTATATTTTTGTTCAGTAATAGTTTCACCTTCTCCATGAATGAGGAGCGTTGGAGAAAGTTGCTATTCTCTGAAGACAGGTAGCAGATAGAAAGATCCACATGGGTGACGTCTAAACAGAAATAGGAGATGTAAATATTTGGGTCGATGTTTCTGGCAGGCAGACAAAGCCGTGCTCCCTGACATATCGCCTGTGTTCTGCTTCATTGCGTGAGGAGGAATGAAAACTAGAGGTGGGTGGGAAAAGCAGACCAAATAACCCTGAATCTGCTCTCCTCTCAGATGGAAACATACCTAGTGACTGAGAAAGCTTCCATCTGTGCAAATTAAAGGGTGAAAGGAGAGGCGGCGTAAATGTGCTGCTAGCAGCCATGTTTATTTGTTCTACTCAATTACTGTATTGTGCATTGTTTTTCTTCATGGTGATGGAAAGTCTACAGGTACAAACCTAGAGGACCAGCCTATGTACAATACAGTAATGTACATTTACATTAAGTGGTTTGTAAGGATGGTATATTAATATACACAAAAAGTGGTTGTTTTCCATGTTATTTGATCAAGAAAAATATTTAATTTGATATGGATGTTTTAGGTCTTTGTCCATAACTTTGCACCTTTTGATGTAAATGTTTGAGGACAGGGTTTTGGTCTTAATGGATTCCATTAGAACAGAAAAAGGGACAGGGCAACATCTCTTACAATTCCAACTATTGAATCCTGCAAGATACTGTTCTTAATTATACAACTACCTGTTTTGCCAAAGCTGAGATGCTGAAAAAATGTTTTTTGCCCGCACTACAGACGTCTAGATAGGTCCACTAATACAGGACTAGTAAAGGCCCAGTGCACTACTTTAGTGAAAAAATATATTTGTCAATTTTTTAAAACTTTTTTATATATGCATATTTTTTTCTTCTGATTTTTCAGGGGGTGCTGCAGCACCCCTACTTCCCATGGCTGTGGGAACACATCTACCCCTCCCTCCCTTCCCTGACCTTAACAGTAGCTGTCTAACAATGACATCTTCTAACACAATCTCCTCCATCATGTCTCCCCAGGTAGCCGGGAGGCAGCGTTTGTGTACGCAATCTCCTCGGCAGGCGTGGTCTATGCAATTACCAGAGCCTGCAGCCAGGGGGACCTCAAGGTCTGCAGCTGCGACGCCCACAAGCGGGGCCAGGCTAGTGACGACAGGGGCGAATTTGACTGGGGCGGCTGCAGCGACAACATCAACTATGGCATCAAGTTCACCAAGACGTTTGTTGATGCCAGGGAAAAGATGGTGAAGGACGCTCGGGCACTGATGAATCTACACAACAACCGCTGTGGACGAATGGTGAGCGATGGCTTCGGAGTTAAGGGGCATTATACTTTTTTAAAATGTGCACTGTGATGCATCTGGACTTGTCACACACAGAAAACTGGCTGACAGGCAGTCCCTTTCAACTAACATTAGAGCATGCTATAACTACTGTGTAACAACATGGTTACTACAATGGAACAAACATTGCTGGTAAAATTCAAGCCACTGTTGAACAGACGTTCTGTAAATGCTCTAGACATGAATAGTGAGTGTACTAGGTTGGTCACAGGTGAGCCTGTGTCTCAACCACCAATGAAATTGTCCAACCGTCTCGATTTCAGGCAGTGAAGCGCTTTATGAAACTGGAGTGCAAGTGTCATGGCGTCAGCGGCTCCTGCGCCCTCAGAACCTGCTGGCTGGCCATGTCGGACTTCCGGAGGACCGGGGACTACCTCCGGAAGAAGTACAACATGGCCATCGAAGTGACCATGAACCAGGATGGCACAGGGTTCATGGTGGCTGACAAGGACGTCAAGGGAACCACTAAGAATGACCTGGTGTATGTAGAAAACTCCCCTGACTACTGCCTCATGGACAGAGCAGCAGGTGGGTCAACTCATGCAGTTAAAGGTGTTAGGTACGGACAGGAGTTTTTCCTCAACACATGACCTGACAGAGAAAACCCCAGATGTTTTAGCAATGGCTTAGAGGAAAGTAGATGATTCAACATAATATCATATTTAGTCAAACGTAGTTTGAAAACATATGGGACATTATTCAAGTGCTTATCACCAAACTTGGGGGAAATATTGCCATCAGAAACCTAGTTGCTCTGAGTCAAGAGTGTTACCCAGAAGTTAGATAATACAGCGGCCTACTCCTCAAATACGGCTACGAGAATACCAGACTCATCTGCCGAAGGCCTGCATACCTGCATAGCTTAGAGTTCAATTATTTGACCTTTAACTTCTCTCTAATTCCAACTGAGTTTTCTCTGCCTTGGTAATCTCTGTCTTTCACGCCCCTCATGTCCCATCACTTCAGCAGAGCGTTCAATGAGGTCTAGAACAGTTAACAGGCTCTGGTTATGATACTTTGGGTGTATTGTGTGTTACTGGCATCATCCTCATCTCTGTTAGACCTATGGTTAAAGGTTGACACGTAGTGAACTGCTGTTAATTTAGAAGAGAAACTACACTACGCCCCTCGACTACTTCAAGGTGCAACAGGGCTGATTTTAAAGGGCTTATAGCTCTCTTCTCTGCTAATCTTTATTGTTTAGGAATTCACACCCTAAGGATACAACAGGGTAATTTTTCAAATCCTTCTGTAGTCACTATTAAGCTCCACTCCCAAATCCTAAAGGGGATTACCTCCACTCACACCCATTCTTACACCCCTTCACTCACGGGCCGACTGGTCTTTAACCATGGCTTCTGTCTTGTGCCCTCTCCACAGGCTCCCTGGGAACGTCAGGGAGAGTCTGCAACAAGTCTTCTAGAGGCACAGACGGCTGCGAGGTCATGTGTTGCGGACGGGGCTATGACACGATGCGTGTCAAGCGAGTCACCAAGTGCGAGTGCAAGTTCAAGTGGTGTTGTGCCGTTGAGTGTAAGGACTGTGAGGACACGGTGGACGTTCACACCTGCAAGCCCCACAAGCGACCCGATTGGCTGGACCTAACCTGACGCTGAGGCCCGGCCTTTCAAAGGACGTAGCAGTGGCCAACTGCATTGTGGGATATGTATTCCCTACCCCTGACTCCTTTCTGACCTCCATTACCTCTGGCATGGTTCTCATCTGACAACCCCTTCTAAAGTGACATCCTAAAGAACCTTTCCCAAGGTGCCGTATCCCAAGTTGGTTTGGATGGTGCAGTACTGTATGGGACTGTTCTGTGGGAAGGCTGCTTAAGAGAATGGTTGGGCCGGGAGAGAGGATAGTTCCTATTTACGTTTATGTTTGTTTGTGTTGATCTGGGGAAATACTATTGTGTGCTGCTTCCAAGGTGTTGAGGACACTTTATTTCTACAGACATTCATTCACACAGTATCTGTTGTCGAAATGTGGAACAGGACATTATACTGTGAGCACACCAGAGATTGAGTTAGGATTGTTGGGTGGTGTATGTGTTGTTGTTTTTTGAACTGAAATTGTACTCTGCTTGATATAATGGAAAGACTGACTTGTATTCAGTTGTTAGGAGAGTGAACCCCCCCAAAAAAGGATATCATACCTTAACCTACTGGTAAAGTGAATTGGAATGGATGTACAGCAGAAAGTTGCACCAAGTCTAACAATCAACTTTTACCGCAGGCCAGAGAGCTGCTCTATGGACACTAATGTAGCTAAATATGGAGCAAAGAAATTCATTTAAACAAATGTTTCTATTATAAGAGTTAAGTGAAACAGACATTGTGGTGGACTGAGATGGATAGTATGTCTCCTCTCTCTTCAGTGTGACAGGTACTCTTACAGTATGTGTTATCAATCTATTATTGTACATGTTCCTAAATGTATACGGTGTGATGGACGGGAGCTGTCATCTCTTGCTCATTATTTTTCACTGGTTTCCGATTACTGACGCTGCTAGCTTCTATATCTCCGAAGTTATCATTCTCACTTTGGGGCACTTTTATTCTGCATCCGTATGCAACACTACAGCCATTTCACTGTCAGGGTTGTGTTGTAGGCTACAGGTGGTTCTGGGTTGTGTTGTAGGCTACAGGTGGTTCTGGGTTGTGTTGTAGGCTACAGGTGGTTCTGGGTTGTGTTGTAGGCTACAGGTGGTTCTGGGTTGTGTTGTAGGCTACAGGTGGTTCTGGGTTGTGTTGTAGGCTACAGGTGGTTCTGGGTTGTGTTGTAGGCTACAGGTGGTTCTGGGTTGTGTTGTAGGCTACAGGTGGTTTGGGTTGTGTTGTAGGCTACAGGTGGTTTGGGTTGTGTTGTAGGCTACAGGTGGTTCAGGGTTGTGTTGTAGGCTACAGGTGGTTCTGGGTTGTGTTGTAGGCTACAGGTGGTTCTGGGTTGTGTTGTAGGCTACAGGTGGTTCTGGGTTGTGTTGTAGGCTACAGGTGGTTCTGGGTTGTGTTGTAGGCTACAGGTGGGTTCTGGGTTGTGTTGTAGGCTACAGGTGGTTCAGGGTTTGTGTTGTAGGCTACAGGTGGTTCAGGGTTGTGTTGTAGGCTACAGGTGGTTCAGGGTTGTGTTGTAGGCTACAGGTGGTTCAGGGTTGTGTTGTAGGCTACAGGTGGTTCAGGGTTGTGTTGTAGGCTACAGGTGGTTCTGGGTTGTGTTGTAGGCTACAGGTGGTTCTGGGTTGTGTTGTAGGCTACAGGTGGTTCTGGGGTTGTGTTGTAGGCTACAGGTGGTTCTGGGTTGTGTTGTAGGCTACAGGTGGTTCTGGGTTGTGTTGTAGGCTACAGGTGGTTCTGGGTTGTGTTGTAGGCTACACGTGGTTCTGGGTTGTGTTGTAGGCTACAGGTGGTTCTGGGTTGTGTTGTAGGCTACAGGTGGTTCAGGGTTGTGTTGTAGGCTACAGGTGGTTCTGGGTTGTGTTGTAGGCTACAGGTGGTTCTGGGTTGTGTTGTAGGCTACAGGTGGTTCTGGGTTGTGTTGTAGGCTACAGGTGGTTCTGGGTTGTGTTGTAGGCTACAGGTGGTTCTGGGTTGTGTTGTAGGCTACAGGTGGTTCAGGGTTGTGTTGTAGGCTACAGGTGGTTCAGGATTGTGTTGTAGGCTACAGGTGGTTCTGGGTTGTGTTGTAGGCTACAGGTGGTTCTGGGTTGTGTTGTAGGCTACAGGTGGTTCTGACCGATCTGGGAGAAATTAAGGACTTTGTGAAACTAGGCCATGATGTTACACAACGTAGAGGAGCTGAGAACCAGAATTGAACATTCAAATCAACATTCAGAAATGCACGTAGGCCTATAGGGAGTCAGGCCATTGGAGACTGGACAAATGGTACAAAGTTTGAACCACATGGAACCCAAGATTGAACAAAATCAGTAAAATCCATGCGATGATCATAACTACTTTGTAAGCTGAATGAGGCTTCAGTTTACGTAAAAAAATATCAACATTTTCAAGTGTAAATGGTAATTGATATGATTTTAATGCAATGTTCTCGAACGGTTGGGAGTCGTGGGCCAAGTTGTACTGTAATGTTAGTTGAAGGGTTATTGTCACCTTGGGGAGGACCCAACAATACCACACTTGTTCTATATTAAACCTTGTTGATCCTTCACATCAGATTTCTTCCATCCCCATATCACTGTCACTGAGATACAGGAGCTGATATTCACTGAATATAGGCTACTCCACACTTTTCTTGAGTAATTCATTCAATTAAGATATATATACTTTTTTCCTCCTAATGTCAGTGCCAGACACAGCATTTACATTTGAGTCATTTAGCAGACGCTCTTATCCAGAGTGACTTACAGTTAGTGCATACATTTTCATACTGGCCCCCCATGGGAATCGAACCCACAACCCTGGCGTTGCAAGCGCCATGCTCTACCAACTGAGCTACACAGGGCCTGCTTTCAGCACACGCCGAATCCGTGGTGAAGGCCATCCAATTACAACAGACTACTCCTCACCAATGCCAAAAGTTTGAATTATTTCTCCATTTCAGAGACTGTGTAAACCAGGGGATATTATGCAGACTGTTTTCTTTACACAGAGCATTATTGTAAAATGATTAGTCATATTAATCACTTTCGAAAAAGCTTTTATTGGTCTCTAAATCTTTTTAAAGGGCAGTGCAACTGTGTCCTTGTGGAAATGTCCTGCCAAATCTCATATAGTGAACAGTGAACAGGGAACAGGAAACGCCTGCCTTTCTCACATCAGTCTTCTAAAATAACCAGCTTGTCACTGTCTGCATTCTCCTCCTATCATAGTGATATCTAATGGGCATCTATTTAGTCACAGGATGATCATTCTAAAATTGTCCCGGGGGAAAGAAAGTTGAGGGTGGAAGACCTCAATGCACTCAGTGACATAATAAAAAGAAATAAGTATCGTAGTGTATTAACTTCAGGGATGTAGCTCAGTTGGTAGAGCATGGCGTTTGCAACGCCAGGGTTGTGGGTTCGATTCCCACGGGGGGCCAGTATGAAAAATAAAATAAAAATAATGTATGCACTCACTAATTGTAAGTCGCTCTGGATAAGAGCGTCTGCTAAATGACAAAAATGTAAATGTAAATCATACAACAGTTAGTTTAGATGCAAAAACATCTAATCAGTATGAATGATTGTAATTCCCATTTATTTATTACAAAAAGTTACTGGGGGCCTCTGGCCTTATCTGTCCTATTTAACAAATTCTGCGGTTCACCATGCACTCCTTGCCAAATCTCAGTTTTGCTGAGTAATAGAGGAAAATATGTATGTTTACTTTTAGAAGTTGTCCCATGGCTTCCGGGACTGCATGCAGAAATGTGTTGAAAGTTACTATGTCAGAGTTTCATTCGTTTAGTTTGGCCCTGAACAGAGCCCTATCGACTGTAAGATTTGTGGTGGCACACACTGGTCTTCACTGTGCTCAACAGAACAGCAGCTCCAGCCAAGTGATATCAGCACTAGTTGCTGGTAGAGAGTCCGAGTCCTAGTGGTCTTCTTTCTTATCCTAAGGCTCTAGCTGCATTACAACACAGAACCCAAATACACAGCCCACCCTAACATGTCATCTGCCATCAACTGCTTTATGGTTATGTTGGTGGTGATCTGGTTACGTTGGCTCATCCCTGATCCTATTCGTGTCATAAATTCTACACGATATGAATCATAGCATATTGTCGTAACCCCATAGTCAACACATCCCGCACCTGGTCCCACTGTGCTGCGGCCTAGGAGGCTGCTTTAGAGTTGGGTGGTGGGACAGTGTTTGGTTGAGCCATGTGCTTGGTACTTACCAGTCTGTGTGTCCGAGCCGACCGCAGTCCTCAACAGCGCAGCATAGCAGCAGGCTTAGGGTCAGTGCCAGTGATAGGTCCCTGGGGCAGATTTATAGGGGAGTTAATTGTAATATATACGTGACCTTCAGGGACATGCATGGCAAGGCTCCCAGGCGAGGTTCATGGTCTATTAACACGTTCGCTGTCCGGGTGAGATTACCGGGCTGCCGGCAGAGGATTAACACATGAAAACCCTTATCTAGTGAGTCAACTGTCAAGAATGCGTCTCTCACCAAGTTTTTGTGTGACTGTCTGTTGCTGTAGAGAGGATGAACAGAAGATGGATACAAAGATAGCGTCTGCTCAGTTATAGGCCAACTCTTTTTACACGAATGTGCTGACCCAAACCTAATCTCACTTGACCTGGAACTAAAGTCTTGTGTAATTGGTCAGATGCTCAATTATGTTCTGGGTTGAGAAGAAATTGGAACCGAAACGAGGAGCTTTGCAAGTTACGGGAAAGTCTATAGGCCAAATAGCCCCTCCCCTTCCGAAATTCAAAAGATGCTTACACCTGCGAAATCGTGATTTGTCCAAAGCAACAGATCTAATCCTGCTTGTTATCTCACGCATGCCGTTGTATCATGACAGATCTATGTTACCATTTATGTCTACGTAGTCTGTCCACCAGAGATTAACCTGAACTGTACTGTGCTAGCTCAGATTGTTTCTGTATTTTTCAGCGACTCCAGTGAATGTGAAACCAGGCCATCTTTGTTTGACT